ATAAAAATATGAATTGATTGTGAGTTTTATCGAGAGAGTATCCCCTACATCAGTTTTTATATAATTATGTATATTTTTAGCTTAGTTAAAGACTATCTTCAATATATGAATGTCACTCAGTTAAACATTATAAACATTAATCCCTGTATAATCTGTTATGTTAATTACCATTGTATGAATGCAAAATCAAGAAAACAAAATAGATATACATAATCTCTATTTATTTTGCTTGATTTATAGGAAACATATTTTCATTATGTTTGGAAATTCTGATTTTTCACAATTAAAAAAGTTTTTTCATACTTTCTGAATTAGAAAAAAATATTTCAATAATTAGTGAGATATATACTAATCTAGCCAATTATTAGGAAGGAATAAGATTTATCTTGTAAACAAAGGCAAAGATCCCATATTGTTTGAGATAGATACGAAAGGATATTATTATAATGCAATGCAATTTTGAAACTAAATATTTTGATTTTTTAAGTATGAACGTAAAATTTCGATGAAATTTACTTACTACTTGAACTAAATACTATAATTTGATATATTAATAAATGATTGAATTTTATACAATTTTCCTCCATTCACATTTTACTAAACCAATTGACTGAAGGCATTCACATTTATAATTATTAATTTAAACATAAAATTTTACATATCATTCATATTATATCATCACTACTCCACTAAATATATAAACAATTATCATTTTTCTATAATTATGCACCTAAATACACGTGCATTCTATTTGTTATTCAATATTAAACACATATATATTGTGTATTCATTTGTAAAAAATATGATGAGCATATTCATTTAAAAGTATCACTATTCATTTATACGTGGGTTCAATATAGCCAAAAAGAATAAAATATATATTACGTTGTTAATATTTGATTTTAAATAAAAATCTTGTTGTGTTTTTGGTAATATATTATATACCAAATTTAAACCATGCAATTAATAAAGGTAATAGTTGTAATATTTGACCAATGAATTCTATACAAATATTAAATTAACTTTTTTAATTTGAATTTCAAACAAATATCCACCACTTCTTAAAATTTCTTAAGAAATTACTAATAAAAGTAAAAACGAATTATTTAGGCGATAAATCAGTTATTATTCAAGTAAATAACAAACATTTTTATATATATAGAGATCGTGATTAAATATTGTAGATTTGGTTGCTCTACAATTGCAAAGTAGTAATTATTAATTATTGGGATATGCATAGTAGCTGGTAATGTACACCAAGGATATTTATATACATAAATATATACTTTCCTTCTTTTGCCGCATAATCAAATCCAAAGATCATATCCTTTAATTATGTATAGTAATTATTTAAGTAGATATGCATAAATATATACTTTCCTTGCTTATTAACTATTTACGTCAAAAATTCTATGGAGCAATCGGATTGTTTTCTTATGGAGTCATTCATTGCTTAATATATTGACACCTGTTCAAATTGTATTTATTGTAAGACACGTGTCAATACAGTATTGGTGAATAAGTGTGGATTGCTCCATAAGCCGAGCCATCCGATTGCTCCATAGCAAAACTGCTATTTACGTAGATTACAAAAATTCTCGGACTCAAGCTGTAATTCTTGACCCAAATCAAATTTTATTTTGGCTTTCTTGATTCAAATATCAAAACATGCCGCTCGTTTTCAATTTTTTTTTAAAAAACTTGCTAATAAAAGTAAAAACAAATTTATTGGCGGGATTTCTACTGCTATTTCAAGTAAATACCACACATTTTTATATGTATATAGATGAAACTTGCATTGTGGAAGCTTTAATTTTTTTGTTTCTTTTTCAGAATCATGATAATCGAGATTGCTATCAGAGCACACACAATGTTTTGAGTTCAATTTTACTTAGACGATATGAAATTAAAGTTATAAATGACATGGATGAAATCAAGTAAAAAAAAAAAAGTGGTCAAAATCATTCAAATCGTTGTTCATACATAGAGACTCTATTGGTGAGATAATAACTTCTATACGAAATGCAAATGGACTTAAACGTTTCGAATGCCACAGGTAAAATTAAGTAAAAAAAAAAAAAAAAGAGTTGGAATCGTTCAAATGAAAAAAGTGAGATTCTCTATTTATGTGTCAAAACAAGCTTAAGGGTAGATCGAGTATATTTTTTCTTCGGACTTTTTTTAATCCAAGACCTGAAGGATAGGTTAACTATCAAATCGGGACTTAAAAGATATTTTTATCTCAATTCGAGACCTAAATCTTGTAAAACTATCAATATTAGTCTTAAAATTAACATAATATATAACACCGTTAATTTGAGAAA